TCAGCTATCGCACCCTCTCCATACACAGCACAAATGTCGCGAGCAGCTTTTGCGGCCTTAGAACCTTGATTAAAAGCAAAAAGGAGGTGTCGAAAATGCTCATTTTTCTCAACTTGACATTCCATTTTAATAATCTGAAAATTAACAGAAATCAACATAAATTAACTCGAACAAAGAACAAAACATCCTCTTTCGAATGATTTAAAACATTATGCCAAATGTTAAAATTTGAAAAAACGGCGGGAACTTAGTCGCCAACCCAATATTTTTGAATTGATTTTTCATTGTAAATTCAATAATTAAGTTAAAATGCAATTTTATTTGCAAAAAGTTACAAATACTCTAACAAAATTTTCAATTCTAAACGAACCATTTTTTAATTCACTTTATCTCCTTCTTTTTTTAATTTTCACAGCCTAAAACGAACATTTCTATTTCCAAAGAGAAAAGAAAACAATTTATCAATATTAGAAGAATGAAGAATCGCAAGAAAGTATTTCAGATAATCACGAAAAACTGTTCCAGAAATTTCAAAAGGTACACGAACTTTCATCCCCTTCGAGCAAGTAATACTCCACCGTAACGAACAAATCCTAAATTGGAGGTATAAAATAATTCTACCGAAACGAAAATAAAAACGAGAAAAAAGGAAACCAAAAGCAGTGTAGCCATAAATCTCACACAGTGATGAGGAAACATATAGGTCAGTTCAGACTGTTTACCCGGCTTTTCATTATGCTTTATTGTCCCTGAGGGGTGCGAGAATTAATTAAAGTTAAACAGGGCTAACTGCCTGGCAAGCAGGTTAACTGCTGGCCATTGTTGGGAAAACGTGACACTCGAGCGAGCAGAGGCGGGTGGTAACAATGAGTGCACGCAACAAAAGAAAGTGAAAAGAAATCGCAATAGGGGTGAATCGGATTTTAACACTTTGAAAAATTCCAGAATAGTTTATAACCAGAAATATTTTCAAAATTGACGTTTCGTGGGGCCGTTTTCTGGTATCACAATTATAATTTGCATTGTTTATTTTGTTGTCAAATGAAAACCTTTGATATATTAGAAATTTTCTTTCTGTAACTTTAAAAATTAATTTTGTTAGTTAGAAAAACGTTTATTTTTCATTTTTGAGAAATTTTGTTAGTTAGCAAAATGTTTATCTTTAACTTTGAGAATTAATTTTGTCAGAAAAGTTGGAAATCATTATTAATATCTTTTGAAATTTCATTTTTACATGTTATTGGAACACATGCTGTTTGAAATATTTACCAAGAACATAATCCATCTGAGGCACGCCGCTTTGGGTGGGAGTTTTGCATGCAGCAGGAAAATCTGAAAATATTAAGCACAGTTTTTTTTTTATCAGTGAATATTTAATAAACGATAAATATGACCGATTGTATGAGAAAGAAGTGTCGAATTTATAATGGGTTCGGTGCTTTGCAATCGAAACTATTTAGGTGATACGGGAAACTTCGTTTTGGGGAAATGTAACAAAACGATTGATTGAAAAGAGAATTGCTTTTTCAGATGATGTTTTATTTTTTTCAGGTCCTTTAAAAGATTCACAGAAATATACTTGGCGAGCTCGTAGAACTACCATCCCTTTATTTCCAAGAAATAATAATATTCAATTGTTGTTGGTTAATAAGCAAAAGTTGTAGACAAATGAAGAATATGGAAAAATTAAACAATATGTACTCGATGCTTTTGAATTTTTTAATTGCATGCAAAATTTTGTTACAGTCTAAATTGAACGTTGTTCCTTATTACTGTAATATGCAGGTCTTTGAAGGAATGAAATACCAGAAATTTAAAATAAATACATTTCTGTATAGTTGAACAATTTTCAGTGCAAAGTAAAATTCTAAATTTCCTTAATCAGCTGTTTTTGTTTAATAAAATTTGTGTTAATAGTGATATTAATCCACTTTATTAAATAAATAAATTTCAGACCAAATAAATTCCAACAGAAAAATTTGAAAAATGCAAAATAATGATCATTGCATACTTTTAATCAATTTACGTAATTTAATTTTTGTTTTCTCTAATTCTTAAATATCTTTTCCATTACGCCAAAGAAATTTAATAAATTTATGTAATTTAACATTAAAAAATGTATGAAGTTTTACAATTTTTAAAAAGATTAAAATCGTTATCTCTGATTCTTACAACTGAATAATATCAATATGCAATTACGTACATCAAACAAATAAATAAAATTCTAAGTAATAAACTAAACTACTTAAAAATATAACAATTGACAATAACATCTGATACACATTTAAACAAAATTATTGCACAGACTAAATATAGCTATGAAATAAAGAAAAGCAACATGACACATGATAAGCAAAAAGTAACAGGATCATGGGTAATGAAATACTGTTAAATCATTATTTCATTCGAATTTGTTTCTATTTCCAATCAATAACAACAATATTTTAAATATACATTAGAATAGACTAGGACGATAGCATCCTCCTATTTTTCTTTTTTGGTATGACTACGTGCTAGCACGCTCATCTTTCCGTACATTCAGACACGCTAATTTCTTAATCAAAATTTTCTTACACAAAAATCTTACACATTAAGGAGGATTACGTTCGATGAAGGAGACACGTAAAAAAAAAAACCGACGAAAACGAAACTACGAAGATGTTCAACGACGGTAAAAAGTGGCTATCTACATCTTTTTCTTGCACGGGTTGCTTTGAAAACAATAATTCGAGAAAATCCGATCGAAAGCAATTCTATAAAATTACATTTTATAAAGTATCCTACGTTACAAATATCCTACGTGTGTCCAAGAATATTCGAATATCCAATCCAACATTGAATTATAAATATTATCCAGCGTACACACCTTTCCTGAAGTCTTCGACTTCAGAAAGAAATTCTTCGGCAACGAACATACAACTATTCCATTTACGTCTTACAAACAACGAACTCCTCTCCAAGTCTGTTGCTCCAATCCTTTGCACTCTTCAAAGGCGCAACAGCATCGAAAGTTTCTCGCGAAACTCGTCGAATTTCGATTTTTGAATCGAAAACAGTTATAAAAATCTTTGTCGTCATATATTACCAATATATTTGTTCTAGGACTACTTACAATGGCAAACTAGCATGAGAAAGAACGTTTATCATATATACTAATCACTTGGAGTGAACGGTGTATTGTCTCCACGAAAGAATTATGTGGAGTGCAAAGGGTTGACACAAGCTTATCTCGAACTCGACCGTCTCCGAAGCAACCCTCACGCGCGTCTATTTACAACGATCTTAAATTAATGGTAACGCATCGAAATTACCGAAGAGTGAAAGAGCTCTCTGGTCGTTAAATAAGTGGCTTGCAGGAATACGGGGCCTTGCCTCGTACAACGCGACAACTTCCACGATCGTGTCAGGTATATAAACTATACGTGTATGTACATGACGTGGGTGGTCCATGGGGCGAGAAATGGGACCTTCTTTTCTCCTAGACTAAGCAAGGTGAGAGAGAGTGAGCGAGAGACAGGAAGAGACAAGGAGAGCCAGGGAGTGACAAGGAGAGACTAGGAAAGATAGGGAGAGCCAAGGAGAGACAGGGAGAGCCAAGGAGAGACAGGGAGTGACAAGGAGAGACTAGGAAAGATAGGGAGAGCCAAGGAGAGACAAGGAAAGATAGGAAGAGCCAAGGAGAGACAAGGAAAGATAAGGAGAGCCAGGGAGAGACTAAGAAAGATAGATAGAGACAGGGTGAGACTAGGAAAGATAAGGAGAGACAAGAAAGAAAGGATCTTTGGGACTATTTACAGGTCACTGGTGAAGAGAAAGGTGGGGCGCAGGGCAACCACCAGAAGGTGTCCCTTCCGGCTTATCTGATCGAGAATTCCTAATTTTCGAGGGGAAATACCGGGGGTAGAGAGTGTGTACGCGGGCCAGAAAACTCGATTTACGCCTCGATAGAGGAAAACACCTTACGGCTTCCTGGGGACAGATCGTTGTCTGGCCCCGGAATGACCAATTATTTTGACGCCTCCAGAGATACACTGACGCCTCATTGTTCATAGAGTAGGGAGGATGTGGGCTTCAAAAGGATAGATGATCTCCCTTTTTTTTTTTCTCTCTCTGGTCCGGCTTATCGCGAGATTCCTCTCAACCCTCTGTAACCCGAACTTCTTGTTCATCGCTCCTGGAAAACGCTTATGTCGATTCTTTGGTACAACGGGAGAATTCAGTTAACTTCAGGAGCTATCTATCGTATCTTAAATCTGCAAATTCAAGAGGCGTCCTTAAAAATTCAGGAAAATTCAAACACTAAGTTTCGTAAAAATGTGAACGCTTGCGAGTTGCGAGTAATTACTGTTAGTTAGAGAGGCTTGAGTTGTTAAAAAGTTCGAAACTATTATGCTATTTGTCGAGGGTTGCTAATATCTTCTTAAATAATAATTTACTGGGAAACGTATGAATTGTAAAAAAACGTCGAATGACAACGACGATCTTGCTATTCGTGAAACTGTCCTGTCTTCAGACATACGTTTCCGATCGATTTAACTACTATTTTACAGTTAAATATAAGTACACGACTATTTACAGGTTACGAGAATGGTCAGTCGTCCATTCTTCCTCGCGACGCGGTCAAAATTCAGTTGAATAACTTAAGCCAAACCATATTTACAACGTGACGTATGATACACTCGAAATCAGTGCGCTCCCTTCGAATACAGTTCACAGTGAAAATCTCCTGTTTGTATAGTTTCAGTCTCGTTCTGTACTGACTAAAATTAACACTCAATTACAATAAAAAGAAAAGTACTTAAAATTGTAGCAATTGCGGTGCTTGCAAATTACTGTCCTTCTCTAAATTTGACTGAAAATCGTTGAATGATCAACAATTTAGTCCCTGCTGTACAAACGCGAAACTGTTCGCTCCTGGCTCCGAACGAAGCGCGCAAATTCCTCGAAACGAAGAGAAAAATGTCGACAGTGAGAAGAGGCGAGAAAAAAAGAGGTCTAATTTAACGTCTCATAATGTCTTCTATACTGAAGCCAAGCTTAGGGGCGGCGGTGGTGGTCCTTTGAATCGGGATCAGGCCACTCACCCTCTCCGCCATCTGCCTGACGGTCGCAGAAGCGTTGATTCTGGGTTCTGATGTCACCGGTGCCTCGATCCTTAGATCTTGCGGCACATCTGTGTGCGTGAGAAGATGAGTCTTCAGGTTGCTCCTCTGGTTGAAGCTTCTGGCGCAAACGGGACACTTGTGAGGCGATTCCTCCATGTGGAGGATCTTGTGAACCGCCAGAGTCCTGCTCTGGCAGAATCCTTTCCCGCACTCGCTACATTTGAACGGCTTTTCCTTGCTGTGAATGTAGCTGAAATAGGGAAAACAAATCTTCCTTTAAGAACGTTTCGCAGAGTTACGCAGAAATAAGGTGTATTGTTGATAGCAGAATTCCTCGTTTGTTAATGGCTAATCTCAGTTATTATTAAGTTTCGTCGCTCGATTACACACTCGAATCTATCTCGAGTTTCGTTTGAAGTCTTCCGCCCGAAGATAAGTCACTCTGGACTGATAAGTGATGCTTCGCAGATGTTCTTTTTTTTTTTACGTCGAGGTCGTTACAACGTTCCAATCGATTGATCGTAACTCGAGTACTCGAGGATGAAATATAGCAAATTAAGAAACGTACAATTTTTGCACGTGAAATTGACGCTGCAATAAAAACGTACAGAAACGCGCACTATCCGATACCGAAACAAAGTTTCAAGCTGTCAAACGATACACAAATAGAAAATCCTCGATGAAGACACACCGTAACGTGAAAAACTCAGGAGAAAGCATCGAACCATTAAAAAAACCACAACTCACCGGTGATCTCGAAGATGATCCTGCCTGCGAAACGCCTTTCCACAGATGTCACAGGAATACGGCCTCTCGTCGGTGTGCGTTCTCTCGTGAATCAGCAGATTGTAACTCTTAGTGAACTGTCTATTGCAGAACTTGCATATGAACTGCTTCTTCGGTCTCTGACCGGGCAGTCTTCTCGTGAGAAAGGAGGCCGGAGGCGGGACCGGAAGCGCTGGGTGCAGTCCCTGATGGCCTTGATGGTGATAGGGATGCGGCGACGACGTCTGGGGACAGCAACCTCTGACGGCGAGCAACGCGGCTCCTCTAATCCAATTATCAAGAAACGCTGCCTGGTAGCCGACATTTTGTCCGGTCGGTTGTTGCTGGGCGTATCTTCCCGCTAATTGTTGACTTCTAATCCACCTGGGCGACGTGATCTGCAGTTGCTGCTGTTGATGCATCGATCTGTCCAACGAGGGTGGCGTGTGAGGCGGTGTCAACGGCTCCATCTTGGTCTCCATGTTCTCCGAAAAACTGCACGAAATGTGTCACAAACGAAAAATTGTCCTTGTAACTTGTCGATCAAAATTGTCGAATTGTCACTTTTAGAACTCTTCTCGTTGGAAGGTTGCTTGTATCGCTGGGCGATCCGTTCCTGGATACTCTCTTGCGCCGACTGTTTACAAAAGTTCATGTATGCAACGGTACACAGTGGAACGAACCAACCGCGGCGGTGGCGGAGGAGGAGGAGGGAAAAGAAACGACGGAAGAATCTCCTCTTCTCTTCTATCTCTCCCCGGGGAAAAAAAAGAAGACAACGTTCCCTCGAGAGTCGGCGCGGTACTAAATGCCAACAAGCAGTCGTCGGGGTTCCAGGATCCCCGGTTACCTGGCGCCAAGGGGACACGGTGGCTCCTCCTACCGTGCCCTGAACGTTGGATACGCCGGTTGGCGGCTCGACTTCCACAGGGGCGGAGCTTCCGGGTCAGGGTGACCCCTCCGGGCGTCGCGACGCTTGTCCACAGGCACGACCGACGGCCCCCCCTCGTCGCTCTTTGCCTAGAAGTGAACACGGGATCTCGCGCCACCGGTTCGCGCTGCCGCTTTTACGCTCCGGGGATGCCCCTCGGTACGCGCGGCAATTGTAGCGACTTTAATTGATCGTTAACACGGTTACGGCAACGGAATAAACCTGAACGGAGATTGTTCTTACGATTTCGTTGGGAATTGTACGCGTCTGTTGTTACACACGGTATTACGTGGGTTTTAATTAGTTGGAGGAATTGACCGTTCTTTGATTATGTTGATTTCGGTTCGGATTGGTATTATTGTTTTCGGATTGTGTAATGTGTTTGTACGTATTTTAGTCGGTTTCTCTGTTCCTTTTTGATGATAACAAATTTTTGCGGTTTTAGATGATAGATTTAGTCGGTTTCTCTGTTCCTTTTTGATGATAACAAATTTTTGCGGTTTTAGATGATAGATACAGAATTGAATTTGTCACGTTTCTGCTTTCAAGAGGTGCGTTATTACGTGGGTTTTAATTAGTTGGAGGAATTGACTGATTTTAGGTTAAATTAGCATCTTTGCTTTGCAATTGCGTTTCTGTATATTTTAGTTGATTTTTCTGTTTCTATTCAATGATTTCAAGTTTCTGCGGTTTTAGATGGTACAGAATTGAATTTGTCACGTTTCTGCTTCAAGAGGTGCGTTATTACGTGGGCTTTAATTAGTTGGAGGAATTGACTGATTTTAGGTTAAATTAGCATCTTTGCTTTGCAATTGCGTTTCTGTATATTTTAGTTGATTTTTCTGTTTCTATTTAATGATTTCAAGTTTCTGCGGTTTTAGATGGTACAGAATTGAATTTGTCACGTTTCTGCTTCAAGTGGCGCGTTATTACGTGGGTTTTAATTATTATTTTAGACTTCAGTTTGAATTGGTATTTTCGTTTTGGGATTATGCAATGTATTTGTATATGTTTTAGTTGATATCTCTGTTTCTCCTTGATGATTCCAAATTGTTGCAGCTTTAAATGGCACAGAATTGAATTTGTCGCGCTTTGGTTTGAAATGGTCCGTCATTATGTATGTATTAATTCGTTGAAGGAATTGACATTTGTTTGCCTAGATTAATTTCGGTTTGAATTAGTATCTTTATTTCGGAATGTAAAAAGTATTCCTAAATGTTCCAGTTGATTTCAGGATCAGTAGAGAATTGAATTTGTCATTTTTATTTCAAATAGTTCGTTATTACGTGTAGTTTAATCAGTTGGAGGTGTTGACAGTTCTGCTGTATTGATTTATGACACTTCTTGAGGTGCGAAGTTTCTTTTCCACGACATCAAATTTTCACAGTTTCAGATAGTGCAGACTGTGTGAAACCTTGTTTTATACGGATTGTATTCAGACTACCCTATTGAGCTTCGCTTTGTAACGTTCAATCGTTACTTTTACCCGATTTATTCCGTCTCTTATAACGCTAATATAACGGTTTTCAAATGACACGATGCTTGAACCAGTATTTAGCCAGTAATTGTGGTATATGGTCGTTAATCTGCAGAGGGTTAATAAATTTGAAGTAAGTTTTGTGTTACATTTATGGATCTTTTAAATGGGTATTTTAATACTTTTGATCGTACTAAAGATAATCCATTTCTAAGGAAACGTGTAATCCTTTCAACAGATCGCCAATATGAAAATAACGGCGATTTATAAAGTGCCATGGTTTGTATTGATACAGTGAAATTGTACGGATAAATACAAAATATTTGGTAAAATACATATATTCTAGAATCTTCCTTTCTCTCAGATTCGTACACACGTGTTACATGATAACGCAAATCACCACGAGTTAGAGAGAATTTTAAACGATGTGACTAAGATTGTAAAAAATCTGGAAATTTTCCGTAATGAAAAATTACAGCGACGACGTAAAATTGTTACATTTACGTTATTTTAAAAATGTCGATACCTTCGAAAATCATAGTGACTGCTACTCGCGTTGAATCGATGATTAAAATGACACGACAGTGCTAATCATTTGCGCTGCAATTATGATATCTACGAAGCAATTTCTTACAGCAACTTTTCAATATTAATATAAATCTGTTAAAATTCAAATGTCCCAACGGTATTTTCAATTTTAATACATGGAATATTTTGAGAATATTTCTGTGAACGATTGACTGAAGCAGTATTGATTTTTATAAACAGAACAAGGTGATAGTAGCTTTGAAAAAATTTATCCGTTGTATCTTGCTGATATATCTTTCTCGAGAAAGATAGAAAACTACTGTTCGATAAGGTTTTCACGAGTTACGCGGGCGATTGCATCGTTAGAATCATCTTGTGCAACACCCCTATTGTTCTTTCAACGCTGATCTTTAATATTATTGCACAGGAAGCTACAATACAATGATTTGACAAAACTTTGCATTTCTAGAACTTCTACCCGCATGCAATTACCTACATTCATCGACAATCTCTGTTACGCAACGGTTATGCATTGTTATGAAATGAAAATTACATCACACGTTGTTCAATAAATCTAAGTAAATTTAACAATTATTGCATTAAGAAATTTCAGTGCAAGGCCGCATTAGCTTATTTTGGCTCACTGGCTTATTTAATTCTGATGACATTATGCTTAGATATATTTGCTAAAAGGAAAAGCAGAAAAAAATTTTTAGGGATTAATTTTTCATAATTTAAATTTCAACCGATTTATTTTCATGCTGTTTTCAATGCAAATATACATAGGATGTCTCAGCTGATGTTGGCATCTTGATTTTCTCACTATTGTTACTCATAGCGGAAATTTAAACGGCGTCGAAGGGAGCATATTCTGGTGTTATTAACCCTTTCGCGACGGCGGAACTAGCCATCGGTACGCCACTAACGAACGGATCGTCGTGCCATTAGTGCACACCATACGCATTAAGAGTGTCTCGCGTTTTTTCAAATCTTAGAGGATTTCGTTGGAACCGCAGAGGACTTAAGGGTGTATCGGACAAAGGGAATGTCGTTGAGGCCTTGTTCTGTATTTTAAAATAAATCTTCACTTTGAG